TGTTATTTCCTTTGGATATATACCCAGAAGTTGAACTGCTAGATCATATGGTAGTTGTATTTTTAATTGTTTGAGAAACCTGGCTGAACCAATTTACATTTCCACCAACAGAGTAAAAAGGTTCCTTCCCCCCACATGCTTGACAACACTTGTTATGTCTTGTCTTCTAGCTGATAGCCATTGTAACAGGTATGAGTTTTGTTTCTTTTCTTTCCCCTTTCCCTTTTCCTTTCCCTTTCCTTCCCTTCCCTTCCCCCTTTTCTTTTCCCTTTTTTTCCTTTTTTTCTTTTCTTTCTTTCCAGGCTAGAGGTGGTTTTATTGACTTTGCTTTGTGTCTGCAAATATCATTGCCTGCCCCTGAGCTGTGTGAGATGAGACCTGGAGAGCAGAGGGGCCCAGAGCACAGGGGAGTAGCAAGCAGTGAGGGAGACAAGGAGGGGCGTACGTGGCTTGTGGCAGAAAGCCTGCACTGAACACATTCCAGCTGATCAGTCTAAGCATAGCCTGTGATAGCCTGAAGCTACACCACATTCCAGCTCCACCTGTAGCCTCCCTCTCCCTCCCCTCCTTGTGGTTTTAATTTGCTTGGCTCTGATGATTGTGATGTCGAATGTCTTTGATGTACCTGTTGGTCTTTTGTATGTGTTTGGAAAAATGTCTGTTCAGTTCCTCTGCCCATTTTTTTATTGGCTTGTTTGGTTTTTTGCTACTGGGTTGTACAAATTCTTTATATATTTTAGATATTAACCCCTTATCCCATATATGGTTTGTAAATATTTTCTCCAGTTCTGTGTCATCTTTTTAGTCTGCTGATTGTTTCTTTTGCTGTTCAGAAGCTTTTTAGTTTGATGTAGTCCCACTTGTTGATTTTCGCTTTTGTTGCTTGTGCTTCTGTTGTCATATCCTAAAACAACATTGCAAATACCAACATCCAGGATCTTCTTCCCATGTTTTTTTCTAGGAATTTTATGGTTTCAGGTCTGAAATTTAAGTCTTTAATCCATTTTGAGTTAATTTGTTGAGTGGTATACCACAGTAAGTTCTCATTTCATGTCATCAATAGATTCTTGGAAACTGTTACTTGAAGAGAAACAACATATAATGAAACCAGTTTTTACCATAGGCTATTCTATATAAACAAGAGTTGAGTTCCTACAGTATGTTTCTTGTCACAAAAGCATCACCGAACTTTAAGATAAAGACCCCAAAGACTTCTAATATTAAACTCTGAGATAAATGTAAGCTGTACATATATTTAAGAAAGATTAATGAAAACAAGTAAAGTTATTTTCCAACCCACTATTCCAGTTCAGAATTGCATGTGGTTGGAGCCTATCCTGCCAGCTCAGGGTGCAAGGCGGGAACCCACCCTGGATGAGGTGCCATTCTATTGCAGGGCCACCATTATACTGACTTCACCCACTTGTTATATTCAGAGTTGAGCTCAGTCTCTTTTTTCCCCTCTTGTGATAGTTCCCCTATGGCTATAGTCTTGAATAACATCTTCCTTGCCATTTTAACAAGTGTCAGAATAATCTCTGGAACAGTATCTCTCTTCCAACATTTTTCTTGCCTTGTTTTCAAGGATTTTATTTTTTATGCTATTGTAAATAGAATTTTTCTCCTCCATTTTTGGATTGTTAATTACTTATATCTAGAAATACAGTAGATTTTTGTATACTGATTTTATCTTGTACAACTTTGTAGAACTTATTAGTTTGTATACAACTTGTGATTGTCTGTATATGGGATCATATATTCTGAAAATAAAGATAGGTTTAATTCTTCCTTTATAATCTGGAAGCCTTTCATTTCTTTCTCCTACCCAATTGCCCTTTCTAGAACCTCCAGTACAACATCAAATAAAAATGGCAATAGTGGACATCCTTGTCTTATTCCTGATCTTAGGGAGTCTTTCACAATTAAGCATGGTTAGCTGTGGTACTTTTATAGGTGCCCTTTATTAAGTTTAGGGAGTCCCCTTCTATTTCCTGCTTGTTAAGTGGTTTTATAATGAAAAGATGTTGGATTTTATCAAGGACTTTTTTCCATGTATTGAAATGATCAAACATGTTTGTCCTTTCTTCTGTTAACACAGTATATTATAGTAACTTGCATTTCTAAAATAAATGCCATTTCATCATGGTCTGCAATTCTTTTTTTCTTTTTAACATTTTACTTATTTTAATTTTTTTTAATTTATTTTGAGAGAGGGGAAGGGAGGGAGGAAGGGAGGAAAGAAACATCAATGTGTGGTTGCCTCTTGTGCGCCCCCTACTGGGGACCTGGCCTGCAATTCTTTTTATATATTGCTGGGTTCATTGTGCTAGTATTTTATTGGAGATATTTTTTTTATGTTTCTATTCATAACAGATATTGATCTGTTGTTTTCTTGTGAAGTCTTTGTCTGATTTTGATACCAAAGTAATCATGGCTTCATAGGATGAATTGAAAAATGTTCCCCCCTCTTCTATTTTTGGAGAAGTTTGTGAAAAACATAGTATTAATTCTTCTTGAAATGTTTGGAAGAATTCACATTTGAAGTCATCTGGGCCTGGGCTTTTCTTTGTGCAAAATTTAATAATTATTGATTCAACCTCTGTTCTGTATTTAATTTGTTGTAGATCTAATTCAGATTTTCTGTTTCTTCTTGAGTCTGGTGGTTTGTGTCTTTCTTATATCTGTTTCATATAAGTTACCTAATGTATTCACATACTTTTGTTCATAGTAGTCTCTTAGAATCCTAATTTATGTGAAGTTGATAGTGATTCTTTTAGTGATTTGAGTCTTTTCTCGTTTTTCTTGGTTAGTTTTTGCAGATTTGTCAATTTTGTTGATCTTTTAAAAAATATACTTTTGGTTTTATTGATTTTTCTCTCTTTTTTTGTTCTGCATTTAATTCTTTCTGCTCTAGTGCATATTATTTCCTTTCCTTAGTTGAAGCCCCCTCAAAAGTAAATTTTTAATCTCTGCTCTTTTTCTTCTGCATGACTCACACTTTCCTGTTTGCATTCGTATCTCAATTTTTTTGTTGAAAACTGGACATTTTACATAATATATTTTAGGAACTCTGGGTACTGACTCCCAACACCCAAAGTTTGTTGCTTGCTTGTTTATTTGTTTAGTGATTCTGCTGGGCTTTATTTTTTAAGTCTTTTTCTCAGAGGGTTCAGCTTCTAATGTCACTTCTCAGAAAACCTTGGGTATGCACCCAGTCACTCTGAAATGACATGTCTCATTTTGTCTCTTGTTCTCTGTGTTATGCTTCTAGCTGGTCTGCCCCTGTTGGCATCTCACCCAGCTGTTAGCCATCACTCATTGTAGGCTAATTGCTCTATTTTTTCCAGTAGTTCCCCAGACATAAATGTTTTCAGTCTGATCTAATTAGATTTGAGTTCCCTTTGTCTTTGTGGCCAGTCTTAGATATTTGTTCTGACCTCAGGAGGATTCTTCTTAGCTGTCTCTTTCCCTGGTATTCTGTTAAATTTCTAGCTGGCCTATTGTTTAACTTGCAGTTCTCATGAAGCTACCACCCTCATCTTAATTGCCTGCCTCCAAAATCTCTATTGTTTTTGACAACACTCTTAGGCTTAAACTTCCCCATACTCTGTTCTGTTCCAAATAAAGTTTGTTAGGGAAATCTCTATTCTTTTTTTTTTTTAGATTTATTTATTTATTTATTTATTTATTTTCAGAGAAAAAGAGGGAGAGAAACACAATGTGTGGTTGCCTCCTGTGCACCCCCAACTGGGGACCTGGCCCACAACCCAGGCATGTGCCCTGACTGGGAATCGAACCAGTGACCCTTTGATTCACAGCCCACACTCAATCCATTGAGCTATACCAGCCAGGGCAGAAATCCCTGTTCTTAAGGCCGTCTTCCCCTGTGAACTATCTCTCAGCCACTGCTCTGGAGCAATGGATAGCGACAATGAACTGCTTCTCTTTGAGTGACATGATTGCTCTACCTAAGGACTGCTGGGTAACTGTGGCCTTCTTGGCTTGCCTCTTCCAGCATGGGACCTCTGCTTGATGAGTAAGTCAGGACAAGGGCACTCGGGGCCCAGAATTCTTGGCTTGCCACCTGAGGTAAAGCTTCTGCCCTATGTGTTAGGGTTAGGGTACAGAAAGGGAGCCCCATACCTTTCAATGATGCCTTGCCTAGAATTTCTGCATCATGTAGCCTCAGATGGGATGGGTGGGACATGAAATGGTAATGACTTGCCCCAACTTGCCCCTCCTAGGGAGAAAGCATAGTCTTTGACTGGGACCTGAGGGGAAAGAGGGGACCTGGCTTTACTTGCCAGGAGTAGAGCTTCCATCTCACTGAGCTGAGGTATGGAGCAGTCATGGATTAAATGCCATAGACTCTCACTATTCTTACTGAGAATTAGTTGATTTTATTGTATAAATGTTTCTTATTTGCTCTATGTCTTTAGGACAGTCACAGTTTTCAGAGACTTTTAAATGGTAATGGTTGGTTGGTTGCTTGTTTTTATCATTTTCACCTGTTAGAGTTGTTTTGACGAGAGGGTCTGTGGAGCTCTTCACACCACAATTCTTGGAGTTTCTAACTCGCACTCATTTTGATGGTTCCTTTTTGTCACTCTCAGATTATCCCCTTAATTTCAGGGTTTGGAGACTACATCCCTTGGATCAAATCTGGCCTATTTTTCTACATAAAAATTCCTTGGAATATAGTCATGTCTATTTGTTTGCATATTGTCTGTGTCTGACAGAGTTGTGTGATTACAACTGAGATTGACCTACAAAGCCTAAAATATTTAGTATCTGGCCCTTTACAGAAAAAAAAACAAACAAACAAACTGCCAACCCCAGATCAGTTGATAAGCTTTACTAATGTCTTTTATTACTTAAACATAGAGATGCTTCTCTATGTTGTCAAGGGTACCAAATACAATTAAAATCAGATTTGGCTTAAAATAAAGATCAAATTTTAAATATAAACATGATATTTTCTGTTTTTCCAACATTTTTAGATTTGGTAGCTCAACGAGGAGAAAGATTGGAATTATTGATAGATAAAACAGAAAATCTCGTGGATTCGGTAAGTACAGAATATGATGATATTTTTCAGGATATAAAGTAGAAAAACTGGTTGATGGCTAACTTAATAGGGAAATGTCTTAAATTCAATACTGTAGTCTTTTTTGTTCTGACCTCCATTATGTGATTGCATTTTGATTATGAGCACAACAGTGGGGCGTAGACAAAAAGCCATGACCCATTAAGGAAGCTTTGGTTTGGAAAACATACTCAGTACAGAAACAATTTTTTTAAAGCTTTGGATTGATGCCTATTAATTTAGCACCTCAGCTGCACATACCAGTCTGTTTTTCTCTGTGCATTTTGTAAAACATGAGAAAAATAGATTTTCAGGCCACTGTGACCCAGTATGAATCCTGAAACCTGGGCAATTCAATCATTTTGTTGCTTACCGTGACAGCTTGAGCTTTCCTTATATCAAGCAAGAGGCATGGATAGGGAAGGGCCTCTGAGACTTAAAGGAATCAGTGTGTCCCTGTCACGTACTTCTGCTACAGTTAAGTGTGTCATTGCATTCTCCATCTGGTTAGTAGATGAAAGTTTTGAGGAAAGATGATGGTGAATAGAAATAGGGCAGAGATTGGTTCCACCTTGAGTCTGCACAATCACAAATTTTAATGCAGAGTGGAAGTTCGCACTTAGAAATAGATCAGTGAGTGCTCATGTTCATTTTTACTGGCAGCTAGATTGCAGTAATTAATAGCACAAGCTCTAGAGTTGGGTTACCTAGGATTGAATCCCATCTCTGCCACTTATTAGTTGTGTGACCTCAGGAAAGTTACTTAACTGTACCTCAGTCATTATCTGTGAAATGGAGATGTATCTACTTCATTAGTGGTTTGAGGCTTAAATCAGATAATGCATGCAAAGTGCCTAACACAATGTCTGATACACAGTAAGAGTTATTTAAATGTTTATTGTCATTGTTAGTTTTATAGGGACATTTGTTAACAGTAGGTCTTAGAAGAATAGCAGTGTTTTCATCAAAACATGTGGTAATTGGAGGAAGAGTGGCATGATACAGGAAGTCAAAACCCCAGGGTTCTGTAATGAATCACTCTATAACCCACTGCTAGGATGTGAAGAGGATGAAGAAGCATCTGATCCCAGACATGCAGGCTGATTAATTTCTTTGGTACTTCCAGTCCATCTCTTAGCTTTTTAAAAAAATCCTCACCTGAATATGTCTATTGATTTTAGAGGTAAAAGAAGGGGAGGGTGAGAGGGCAAGAGAAACATTGATCAGTTGCCTCCCATACGTGTTCCAACTAGGGATCAAACCCACAACCTAGGTATGTGCCCTGACCAGGAATCAAACCCACGAGCTTTTGGTGTATGGGACAGTGCTCCAATGCACTGAGCTACCCATCCAGGCCCATCTCTTAGATATTCTTAATCCTAAAATTAAGATGGGAATGGTTTGTGTTTGATCAGTACTAATATAGTTTGTACTTTCCAAATAAAAGTCTTCTTAATTTAGTTGACTACATTTCCCAGCACAACAAAAGGGGCTCATGAGCTAACAGGTGTCTCTTTTTCCAGAGGAATAACATGCATACAATAAAGTACAGCAAGTATATTACTTTTAATTACTGTAAAGTTATTTTTTTACATGTCTATGCCCATGTAACCACCACCTAGATCAAGATATAAAACATTTTGAACACCTCAGAAGGCTGTCTCATGCCCCTTCCAGTCAATAATCCCCAATAAACCATTTTCCTAATTTGTACCACCCTGGACAATATTTTGTCTATTCTTAAAATGTATAGAAATGAAATCATATGTCATGTACTCTGCTGTGTCTGGCCTCTTTTGCTCATCATTATACCTGTGAGATTCATCCACATTGTAGTAAAGCTTATTCTTTTTATTGTTTTCTTCTCTTTCATTGTATAAATCTATCTACCAAAATTTATTTATACATTCTCCTCTGTGGGGCTCCAATTTTGGATTCTCTATTTTATTTCATTGATCTGTTTATCTACCTTTATGCCAATAGCACACTGTATTGATAACTATAGCTTTATAGAATTCACTAAGTCCTCCAACTATGTTCGTCCCCAGGATTGTCTTCACTATTTTAGGTCCTTTGCATTTCCATTTATATGTCAAAATAAGCTTGTTATTTTCCATCTTTAAAAACAGCATGTATCTTTGATTGTGATTGCATTTACTCTGTAGGTCAGGTTAGGGAGTATGGTATCTTGACAGCACTAAGTCATCCTTCCTGTAAACATGGCACATTTCTGCTTTTGTGTAGAATTTCTTCAATTTTTCTGAACAGTGTTTTGTAGTTTTCAGTGTACAGGTCATACACATATTTTCTCAAATTTACCCTTGAGAATTTCATGGTTTTCTATCCTATTGTAAACTATTAAGTTTCATTTTCTAATATTGCTAATATAAGGGAAAAGACTCATAGAGTGCTGTCTGGTGTAGCTCAGTGGATTGAACACTGACCTACGAACCAAAGGGTTGCCGTTTTGATTCCCAGTCAGGGCACATGCCTGGGTTGTAGGCCAGGTCTCCAGTAGGGGGCATGTGAGAGGCAACCACACATTGATGTTTCTCTCCCTCTTTTTCTCCCTCCCTTCCCCTCTGTCTAAAAATGAATAAAATCTTTTTTAAAAAGATAGAGAAAAGACTCATAGAAACAAAATGAGAAATGAAAGAGAAGTTCCACAGACATTGCAGTATACAAAGGATCACACTAGAATACTATGAAAGACTATATGCCACCAATTTAATAGTGCAGAAGAAATGAATAAGTTCCTAGACATATATAACCTTCCTAGACTGAATCATGAAAAATTGGAAAATCTAAATAGACTGATCAGCAGTGAGGAAATTTAAATAACCATCAAAAACCTCCCCCCAAAATAAAAGTTCAGGACCAGATGGCCTTGTAAGTGAATTCTACTAGACATTCAAAGAATATTTGATACCTGTCCTTCTCAAACTCTTCCAAAAAATTGAAGAAGATGCAATAATTCGTAACACATTTTATGAGGCCAACATAACCCTGATACCAAAAACTTGGCAAGGATAAAACAAAAAAATAAACTACAGACCCATATCTCTGAACATAGATGCAAAAATCCTTTTAAAAATTAAGAAATTGAATATAACAATACATTTAAAAATACATCACAATCAAGTAGGGCTCATTCCAAGGGCACCATGATGGTTCAACGGACACAAACTGACCAGTGCGATACACCACATTAACAAAACAAAGGATAAACATCCTATGATTTTATCAATAGATGTAGAAAAGCATTCAATAAGATCTATTTATGATTAAGACACTCAATAAAATGGATATAGAAGAAAAGTACCTCAACGTAATAAAGACCATATTTGACAAACCCAAGCTAATATACTTAATGGTGAAAAACTAAAAGCTTTTCTTCTAAAACCAGGAGCAAGACAAGGATGACCATTTTCACCACTCTTATTCAACATAGTGTTAGAAGTCTAGGCCAGAGAAATCAGGCAAGAGAAAGCAATAAAAGGCATCCAAATTGGGAATGAAAAAGTAAAAGTGTCACTTTTTGCAGATTACATGATTTATATAGAAAACCCTAAAGACTCCACCAAAAAACTATTAGAAACAATAAACAAATACAGCAAAGTTGCAGGATACAAAATCAGTGTACAGAAAATCCACTGTATCCCTTTATATTCACAATGATATTTTGGATAAGGAAATGAAAACACCAATTCTTTTGCAGTCACAACAAAAGGGATAAATTACCTAGGAATAAATTAACAAAGGATGTGAAGGACCTGTATACAGAAAACTACAAAGCATTATTAAAAGAGATTGAAAAAGACACAATGAAATGGAAGGATATCCTGTGTTCATGGATTGGAAGAATCAACATAGTTAAAATGTCCATATTGCCCAAAGCAATATACAGATTTTAATGTAGTCTTCATCAAAATTCCAAGGATATTTTTAAAGAAATATAACAAAAATATAATCAGATTTGTATGGAACCACAAATGACCCCAAATAGCCAAAGCAATCCTCAGAAAAAAATAACAAAGCCAGAGGTATCACACTACCTGAGTTCCAATTATACTACAGAGCAAATGTAAATCAAAACAGCATGGTATTGGCAGAAAAACAGACACACAGACCAATGGAACAGAATTGAGAGCCCAGAAATAAAACCACAAACATATGGGCAAATAACTTCTGACAAAGGAGCCAAAAACTTACAACAAAGAAAAGAAAGCCTCTTCAATAAATGGTGCTGGGAAAATTGGAAAGCCACATGAAAAGAATGAAACTAGACTACTGTTTGTCCCCATGTACAAAAATGAATTCAGAATGGATCAAAGACCTAAATACAAAATCTAAAACAGTGTATTACATAGAAGAAACCATAGGTACTAAACTTAGGGGCCTTGGTCTTAGAGGGCATTTTATGAATTTGATCCCAACAGCAAGGGAAGTAAAGGAAAAAAATAAATGAATGGGACTATAACAAACTAAAATACTTCTGCACAATGAAAGAAACCAACAACAAAGACAAAGGTTTAATATCCAAACTATATTAAAGAACTTTTACAACTCAACACCAAACAAACAATCCAATTAAAAAATGAGCAGAGGACCTGAATAGATTCTTCTCCGGAGAGGGTATACAAATGGCCAACAGATATATGAAATGATGCTCAACTTCACTAGCAATTAGGGAAATGCAAATCAAAACAATGAGATATCACCTCACATCTATTAGAATGGCCATTATCAACAAGACAAGTAATGACAAGTGAGGAAGAGTTTGTAGAGAAAAAGGAACTCTCATTCACTGCTGGTGGGAATGTAGACTGGTACAGCCACTATGGAAAATAGTATGGAGGTTCCTCAAAAAATTAAGGCTGCAGTTACCATATGACCCAGCAACCCCTCCTTTGGGTATCGACCCCCAAAATTTGAACACATTTATTCACAAAGATCTGTGTAGCCTTATGTTCATTGCAGCATTATTCATGATGGCCAAGACATGGAATCAACCACAGTATCTTTCAATAGATGACTGGATAAAGAAGGTGTGGTACGTATATTCAATGGAATATTACTCAGCCATAAGGAAAGATGAAATACTGCCATTTATGACAACATGGATGGTCCTTGAGACTATTATTGTAAGCAAAACAAGTCAGTCAGAAAAAGCTAAGAAACATGATTTCATTCATATGTGGGGCATAAAATTGAAACTCATAGGCACAGGCAAGAGTATGGTGGTTACCAGAGGGAAGGAGTGTGGGAGGGTAGTAAAGGGTAATGGGGACAAATATATGGTGATGGAAAATGATTTGATTTGGGTGGTGGGCACACAATGCAATAAACAGTTCATGTATCATTCACTTGAAACCTACATAATCTTATTAACTAATGTCACCCCAATAAATTTAATTAAAAATATGTAAAATAAGATAAGTAGATAATTTGTCAATGTTCAAATATTGACTTGAGGGTTGTGGAGGAATCTCCACCCCAACCAACTGAATGACATAACTCTTTTCAGTTTTATTAGTTTCATTGCTCACTGCTTTTTCTTATCTACATTATCTTCTTATTTCTGGAATTCTTTATTGTGATTTAGTTTGTAAGTAATTTCAAAGAGTTCAGACAGTTGAGGAATTTACAAACTATACAGTTTAGAGGGCACATACTTGAAGACCACCCTCAGTTCTGACACCAACTGCAAGTTTATTTGTTCCCAAAACCACCCTCAGGTTTGATCGTTTACTAGAGGGACTCACAGACCTCCATGAAAGCTGTCATACTCACTGTTATGGTTTATTACAGGCGAAGGATACAGATTAAGGTCAGCCAAGGCAAAGAAGCACATACGGGGGAGTTTGGGACAGTACCAAACCCAGAGCCTGTGTTGTCATGTCTGCATGGAGTTAGAACATGTTAGTCTCCCAGCATACATGTGTTACAGCATGCATAGAGTATTATCAAGCAGGGAAGCTTGCCCAAGCCGTGGTATTCAGTTTTCATCGATGTTTTATTATGTAGGCACAATTGACTGATTGCCTACTTGCTTGATTTGTCTGCAGACTCCACTTTCTCTATGTGTGACCCAAAGCCTCTACCCTAAATCATACAGTTGGTCTCTGTAGTGAATAAGCCCCACCTTAAATCACACTTGGCTAGCCCAATATACCCCAGGCAAGCAAAGATTTTACCTCCCAGGAGCTACGGGCAAAGGTCATACCCCTTTGGGACAAGTTTAAGTTCTTCACTACATAGTACAGTTCATAGGCATTTGGATCATTTCCACTTTTGAGATAAGTCATATAGTACAGTTGGAAATATTTTTGTACATGTCTTTTGGTGAACTTGTGCATACATCTCTTTTGGGTATATACCTAGGAGTAGAATTGCTGGGCAATTAGGAAATTTTATTGTTTGCTTGTTTTGAACTGCTTCTGTCCTGCTGGGAATGGTTCAGTAGATACTGAGAAACTGATGTTTCAAAAGAAAATGGATAACCGAAGAACTGCAAGTCAATACACATCTTCATATGGAAATTGAATGGGCATTATTCAAAATCCCAGAATTATACTGGGCAGAGTAGGCAAATGTGTTTGCAGCCAGCTGGCTTAGAAGAAGCCTTTCTTATTGGAAGCATAAAGAGGATAAGGCTTTTCTACTAGCAGGAAGAATCACTTCTGGTGCTTTACATTATGTGCATGGATATGGTGGAGAAGAAAAAGGAGGGAAGCCTTTCCAATGGGCTAATACTGCTTGCCATAGACCTGGAAGAGTTCTGCTTTTGGGGACTAGGGATTATGAATGGCCATTTCTACAGGGAAGAGAGAGAAGGGGTAAAGAACACTGGAACTTAACAGAATTAATGAAGGTAAAAGTTTTGCAGGTAGTGCTGCAAATCAGTCGTGTAGTCAGTGCCAGAAATCAAGCAAATTTGTGTTTTTTTCCTAGTCTGTCACCTTCAAAACAACCAGCAGAAATCTTGCCCGAGCCATGTGTATGAAGAATCTCAAACTTACTATCATCATCATCATCGTATCAATTGTAAGTTTTTATCCTTTTATGTGGTTTTATGTTTTAATCTCTAAGAAATTAGGGGCTGGAATTCTGTTTTTTTTTCAAAGATCTTATTTATTTTTATACAGAGGGGAAGGAAGGGAGAAAGAGAGGCAGAGAAACATTAATGTGTGGTTGCCTCTAGTGCGCCCCTTACTGGGGACCTGGCCCACAACCCAGGTGTGTGCCCTGTCTGGGAATTGAACCAGTGACCCTTTGGTTTGCAGGCTTGCACTCAGTCCACTGAGCCACACCAACTAGGGCTTAGAATACTTTCTAATAATTAGCACTCTACAATGAGCTACGTATAACTTTTAATGGTGAAACACATGACCAAACAGTGGCTTTCCCATGAAGTCACATTGAAATATTATCTCTACTTAAACCCCATATCCCTATGTAGAATCCTTATATGTAAGGAGCTGTGCAAGCCATTCCAAATATTCCTGGATATGTAATGTTTTTGTTGCTACTGAAATGGGATTCTTTTAATATCGCATTTTTTAAATTGATTCCATAGTTTCTAATTATATTTCTCTTTTCTAGTTTATGTCATTTTCTATTTATCGCTGGTTTCTCTTCTCTAATTGATGTATTTTGTGTCTGGAAATTTGCATAACTTTTATTAGCTGGAATAGTTGATTCTTCTGTATGCTATAGGTCAGGAGTCAGCAAACATTCTGAAAGTGCTGGATGATAAATATTTTAGGCTTTGTGGGCTCTATATAGTCTATCACGTATTCTTTTAATTTCTTTTTAATGATTTTATTTATTTATTTTTAGAGAGAGGGGAAGGGAAGGAGAAAGAGAGGGAGGGAAACATCAATGTGTGGTTGCCTCTCAAGTGCCTCCTACTGGGGACCTGGCCATCAACCCAGGGATGTGCCCTGACTGGGAATCAAACCGGCAATTCTTTGGTTTGCAGATCTGCGCTCAATCCACTGAGCTACACCACCCAGGGCTATTCTTATTTTTAAGCAAGCATTTACCATTCTTAGCTTGTAGGCCATGGGCTATATTTTACTGACCCCTGGTATAGTGGTAAATTTATAATACCATCTGTTAAAAATTTTAACTTCATCAAATTCACACACACACACTTTATATATAATTTTATATAATTATATATTTTTCTTGTATTTACTAGCAGTATTGAGTAATTATGATGTCAATGGGCATCTTTATTTAGTTCCCAGTTTTAATTGAAATGCTTCTAATATTTCATTTTTAAGAGTGACATTTAGCCCTGGCTGGTGTGGCTCAGTAGATTTAGTGCTGGCCTGTGAACCAAAGGGTCACCAGTTCGATTCGCAGTCTAGGGTACATGCCTAGGTTGTGGGCCAGGACCCTGGTAGGGGGCACTCAAGAGGCAACCAAACATTGATGTTTCCCTCTCTTTCTTCCTGCCATCCCCTCTCTAAAAATAAATAAATAAGTGATCTTTAAAAAAAGAGAATGTTTAAAAAAATTTAAAAAGAGTGATATTTACTCTGAATTCTTGTTGGATTTTTATTGTCAAGTTAAACAACTTTTATTTCTATATTTTTTATTTTTTCAATTTGTATTTATTGATTTGAGGGGGGACATCAGTTTGTTTTATTTTATGCATTTATTGGTTGATTTTTGTATGTGCCATGACTGTAGATTGAACCCACAACCTTAGTGTATCAGGATGATGCCCTAACCACCTGAGCTATCCAACCCGGGCAGTTTTATTTCTAGTTTGCTAAAACATTTTATCAGGAATAAGCATTTAATTTTAGGAAATGAAATTTCTCTACTCAATGAATTGATAATGTGACTACTTACATTTTATATTAATGTATTGAATTATATTAATAACTGCTTTTATAATTGACTATTATTGGAATAACTTCTTTCTGGGATAACTATTATTAACTGATTTCTGGGATAAATACTTAGAGGTTATTATGCAGTACTTTTTAATGCATGATAAGTATAATTTCCTATTATTGATTTAGTAGTTTTCTTATCTGTAAGTATAAATTAGTTTATATGCTGTTCTTCTTTTGGTACCCACATGTAAACAGATACTGGACCTCTTTGAACTATTCTGCATGTCTAGCAACCTTTTCAGCATGTTTAAACTCCATTTTGCATTTCATTCTGGGAGACTCATTCTACTAACTGTTCCAGCAAAGTAAATTTATTTTCAGCTCTGTTTATTCTACTGTCCAGCTCTTTTATTTATTTGTTTGTTTGTTTGTTTATTATAACCATGTTTTAAATTTTTAAGAACTCTTATTATACATAGTTTAACCTTTTTTATCACGGAACTTGTGTACTTGTTAACAAATGTACTCTATCCTTGCTGTCTTTCTTTTACCAGCAGCTTTCCTTTGATTTGGTAATTATAATTAGTGTGTCATTACCTACTGAAAGGTTAGTAGCAACATTCTTACTCACAGTTAATATAAATGTAGAGTATCTACTGTACATTTTAAATTTTTATCCTAATAATGATAGATTAATCCATGCATAAAACTTAAGAATGTACTTAATAATAAAACAATACTTCAAATGAATTATAATTTGTAATGTTTATGACTATTAATGATGTATCAATAAGAGTTTCTCACATAGCTGAATTCTTTCTAGTTTCCAGTGAAGAGAAGCAACCCCACTGCTTTCTTTCCCACTAGAAAAAGCACAGTAGAATTATGCTTTCTGTGATAAAAGCATAATTCTCATGGATTTATGCAAATCCATGAGAATTATATCAGAAAGGATCACTTTAATTCAACTCATATCTTTGAAAATACTAAATTAGTGTATTACACAACTGCTACTCTGATGGAACCAGTATTTGTTATTAGGTCTTTATACTGCTTTACATATTATTTAGGAGCCTACGATAGATTCAAGAAAATAATATTGCCTTTTTCCTCTTTCCAGGTGTTCATCTATATCATCGTGTCACCTCTCTGTGGTGGATTTACATGGCCAAACTGTGTGAAGAAATAAACAAAAAGTTGTCAGTAACCAAGGATATGAGAGAACAAGAGGTTGAAAACTCCATGTGATTTAAGCCTTTTAATACTGACAGATGGTTTCTGCCAGTCTCTTCAACCTTCTTTCTTTTTCTGTTTTTAATCTTATACTGTGCATCCATATTGATCTTTGTCCTGTCAACCAGTTTATTCCAGTACACTTCAGATTGAACCATTCGTTGCAGCAGTAGCTTTACTAAGCTTTTTGTTTGTCTGTTTGGTTAACTACTCCTGTCATTTACTTAGAGAAACATTTTTGCTTGTGATTGCACAAAGTTGTCACCAAGGCGGAAAGCACCAGTCTTCTGAGCTATCTACTATATCTAGAGGTGAATTTTGTATGTGCACGCAAAAATATTCAAGAAGCAGATAGTATAGGTAACATCTCATCTTTGTTTTTTGTTCTTGAAGAATTCTAGGTGCTTGAAAACAATATAAGTGGAGAATCATTGTTATTTGGGAAATTGTTATTAAATTGTTGGTGCTGCTCGCTTCTAGGAGCCGAAGCAGAGCAAGTATTAGACATTTTCTCTCAGTCAGATGGAGAACATTTTGCTAGCCCATTAGAAGCACATGGAGTTATCTTTGACCTCCTAGTGTTCACTTTCAAGAACATTTTGACCATTTATAAACCTCGCAGAGTTTGGTATCTTCTATTTCCCCATTGCAGTTAATTTGAGAAGAGGCTGGTTTATTAGAAGGTTATGTTTTTTAATATATACTTTTCTTCAGTTGATATTATTCAGTTGATATTAGGACAATTATATAGTTAATAGAATATGTATTGGAGGGAGTGAAGAGGCAAATTCCTCTGGCTCACCAAAGAAAAAGGAGAGAATCACAGTGAATGTGCTGGCAGTTTAGCTGTACGAAGGGAGGTAGCACGGGAATTTTTTTGCCCATCTAGGAAAAGCCCAAACAGAATATAGTCAACAGTTAACTCCAGGGTTTGGGTTTGACTGTTGTTGAATAGTAGTCTGAGAATCCTTTGTGGTTTAATAAGTTCTTTAACTGCCTAGTTTTGAATAATTCTTTTGTGAAAGAAGGGTAGGCAGTGCGATGTATAGAAACAATACAAGACAGTTTAACATTCATTTAAATGCACTGTAAGAAAACTGGAGCGTAATCATACTGCTTTGGCTACTCTGGCATCTGTCAGCTAGTATGTAGTTTTAGTGTGTATCTGAAAGGGCATTTGCAGCCTGAGATCTGATTACATTTATTTATCAATAAGTGCCAGTAAGTGGAAATTAAATTACATTTGACTATTTTCCCAATGAAAGAAAAAAAAATTAGTCAATAAAAGCTAGTCACCTGTTTAGCCTAGTCATGTGCCTTGAATATATATGTCACAGTCTGGCTCATGCTACCTGTTTTTCAGTTGAAGCCTTTTGATTCATGCTACCGGACTCGTTTATTTGACATGTGCAGTGGAACTCTTTTCCTGGTGACCATGCATAGTGCAAATGTTTTTCCAGTTTTGTTTATCAACACTAATGCCTTTTCAGTACATCAGCATTTCCTGTTGGAAAACATATTTGTTCCAGGAAAACACTTGGCATTCCTGAATAATAATTTCTAAATGTCTTTAATCCAAAGAAAGAGACTTAAAGTGTATTTCCTTTCTTGTAAACAACTGTAAAAAAATGATGTGCATGTTTTAGGGATGAATTACTTAATGATCCTTTGATCTGTTTATGTATAAGAATGCTCTTTTAAATCATAATCTTGTTTTAAGTGATGCACAAACTGAAGGCATTAATAAAATTTAAGAGTAACACAGTGGGTTACTTGTTTTAGAATTTCTTCCTGGAATCTAATTTCTTCCAACGACATTTTGCCATAGTTTACAGAACAAAAGTATTTATGCTGAAAAGACTTAAGAAGTGTAACTTACAGCAGCCTTCAGTAAAGAGCAATAGCATTGTCTTATGTTTATAAAATTTCTTCAAAACCAAAAGACACGAAAGAACTTAATAAAATATATAGGTCATACTGAAAGCAGTGGAAGATCCTGAAATGACCACACAGCCTCCACAACTATCATCCTGAGACCATGGTTGAGACAACAAAAAAAGAACCCCAGAGATTGTAGGTATTTACCTCTTTACCTCAGATCAGATGCATGACCACAAGGTTACATAGTGTCACAATCCATAAGTTTCCCTCAGAATGAATGGATATGGCTTACATCACATAGTAGTTTCTCCTTGTTTAGCTCTGCTAAATTGGGTTGCTTCCCAGGGTATCTTGATGGAAATAGGTATAACAACAATAATAGCAGCACTAAGACCCCCACTCCCCACCACTATTCTACATTACAAGCAGGTCTCTTTCTGACAACTCTCTTTTGAAGAATAATAAATGGGGTGGAATGGTGGTGGTGGTTGACCTATGATTCAGTTTGAATTCAGTGAGGAAACAATGAGCTTAATACAAGATTCAAGTTTATACAGGTATATGACAAACTGGGACAGGAAGGTGTAGAAGGGAGGCACCAAGGTATAAGAGGAACTGTCCTAAGCACGTGCACTTGAAGGACTGGCACTGCGGACAGGATGGAGCTTGCTGAAAAACCTGACAATCCCTACGTATCTCTTTGCCAAAGTGGGTGTGAGGATTGCCATGTGGAAAGGTTTGTTGAAGCCACAGCCTCAATGGACCTGATGCCAAGGACCTAACTTGTGCCTGAATTGGTGAGCAGGGCCAGTAATCAGGAGGATGGGCTGGCTGTGGAGTGGAGACTGAGGAAAAGCTGGGGTACACCAGGCACCTTTGCATCTTTGTCTGACTGCCCTGACCATCAGGATATTGGCCTCCACTTCCCTCTGCTGCTTTCCAAGTCACAACACAAGTTCATTTTGCTGGCAAAACATAATCCTAAAAGCATGTAGGGAAACAGGTTTCTATGAAATTCCCAGCTTCTGATGAGAGCTATGGTGTCAGTCCAGGAAAGCCACGTTGTTCCCAGATTACTCATTAGATCAGTTTAACTGCTTTATCTTATCGAGAAAGGCTATTAAAGCATTCTTTTGGTCAGGATACAGTGTACAAAATTATTTTGGATTCATGCTGTTCAATAAACAAAAGCATTATCTAAATCCAAAATATGTTGTGATTTTTTATATCTCTTTTCCAAAGACAAGAAGAAGCTGTGAATTTACCACTAACAACAATGTTGCTCTTTCAGCAAGTGGAATTGCTTCACAGCAAGATAACCGAACGGGTGGCTGCAGCTGTTGACCCTAAGTGAACCCCTTCCTTCCGTGTGCTTCAGATCCCACAGCTGTGCAGTGGGCCGTCAGTGATGGGTATCTGCTGTTTTCCCCAGCCCAGCATCTGGTCTACCCAAATCCAGCACCTCAGCTTTCCTTTGTGAATTCGTCTCACCTCTTCCCAGTCCAAACAGCTCCAAAGGGCTGACCCTACGTCTAGCCAATCACATGTTTCATCCTCTGGGTGCTCTGATGGGTTCAAGGATGAGAATGACCGAGCCAGGCCAAAGGCATTTTTGATATCTTTATTTATGTTTCTCATTTAATATTACTTTATATTGGTTTCAGGTGTGCAGCACAGTGGTTAGACAATCATATTTCACAAAGTGTTCTCCCTGATAGTTTCAGTGTCCAGCTAGCATTTTTAAGCTGTGAGTTTTCATGGAACCCAAGGGAAGGAAAATCCCACCCATTTAGAATGATGGGTGAGTGGGTGAGGCTCTGGATGCAGGGAGAGAGACTGTGCCTGTGACTGGCGCCACCCAAGGGCACTTAGGATGGAGTGTGGAGAGGGACCAGGTCCCACTGCCACAGTGTGAGAAGCTGGACCTGCCAGGTCTAAACTTATTCTTAAACTTGCCTCTTGCAAGTATTAATATATGTAGGATCTAATATGAATAAAACCAGAGGCAGTAGATATATAGAACAGACAACTCAGAGGGGAAGGGGTTTGGGCGGACTGTAATAAATCAGCCAAAAAACATATATGCATGTATGAACAGTCTGTGAACAGACAACAATGTGGTGAAGGTCAAGGTGGGGCTTGGAGGGGGGCAAAGGGGGGGGGATGGGGGACATCCGTAATAGGGTCAACAATAGAAAATGATTATTTTACTTCAGCAAATGTGTCCAGTTCTTAGCAATCAAGAAAGTCCTAGCCAACTAATCCCTGAGACTCCTTCCAGTATGGGGTTGTCACTAGGCAGGCCACACCTGGGAGAGATGAAGACCTGCATAGGGTCAGATCTTAGGGGAGCTGCTGAACAGCTCTGTCACTATTTCTCCCCTGTCCTGTGACAGGGGAACCCCAGAATAATGAGAGAACCTACAGGGGAAAGAGGTCCCTGGATGGATAATTTATCTGTTCATATTTTCCTTATTTTGGTGTCCATGTTATTAATCTTTATTTTTACTAGGAAATCACCCATTTCTTCTAGGTTTCCAGTTTGATTCAATGGGTTTATCTTATCTCACTTTTAACTTCTCTCTTTCCAGTTTTTAAATAGAATTGTTACAATTCATGAACAAGTATTGATTCATTATTATTCACCAAATTCTACATTTTATTCAGGTTCCGGCATTCACACAATCTCAGTGCTGGTGCCTCTATGTGTTAAAGTCCTTACTGATCATCCAACCAGAAAGGTTAATGCTGACAGCTGGGGTACCTGGTGGATCATTGAATTGTGGTGTTATGATAGGAAATGAGACCAGAAGAAACTGGCCTTATAAGAGTCTCAACACTGTGCTGGTGATGAGACTTTATTGTCTAGGTTTGGGGAGTGGGTGGAGGCTGTTAGTGGTTCTGTACAAAGGAAATGACAGGATTAGATTCCTAATTTAGAAAGATCAAGCTGGTCACAGTGTAGAGGTTCTACTGGATGAGAGAGGGACAGGAAACAAAGACCTTGAGAAGACTGGTTGCAGGTGATGCTGGCTTGGGCTGAGACAGGGACCATGGCTTTGGAGAGGAACAGGGGTATGAAGAGCAGGGAGAGACTGGTTAATATTATCCTGAGGATAAAGCTAGCACAGATGCAAGAGAGTGCTTAGGGGAACTTTGAATATTTGGACACCACTAGGAGAGCTCATTCTGCTAAAAGGAGAGTATTTGCTATTTTTTAAAATTTATCCAGCCTGTGAAAGGTTAAAAAAGGACAAAGAAGTGAAGAGGGAGGGACAGTGAGTGCTGATCACATGTTGGGCAGGAGCTAACATACACTACTTCACTGAATCTTCTCAGCCATCTTGAGAGGGAGCAGTTATCCCATATGCCAGATGAGGAGACTGAGTTTCCATTTCTTTGCCTGAAGTCACACAACTAGTGGGTGGTAGGGCCAGTAGTCAACTCTATGTTTGTGGCTCAGGCACTACTCCATAAGGAAACCTCCTAGACTCCATTTCGTGCACCTAGAAAGCTCTTATTAGTTGAGACCTCAGAGGAAGGGATCATGCACAGAAGCAGACCAGTGCTCTGGACTGAAGAACAGATCTTAAAGGGCCAGAGGACAGGCAGGGTGTAGAATTTGGGAACTCATTGTTGCAGGAATCTGAATCTGTCCCCATCCCCAGCCTCCTGCCCTAGTCCCACCCCATAAATCAGCTTGAGTGCAAGATAAACTGAACTAGCAGATTTTCTTAAAGTACAATGACCAAAATTCAATCCAAACCTTCAAGTACTATTTGGATTATTCTATTTGTCCAGGATACTATGTATGCATGTTCTTGTGGCCCAGATAAACTGAACTAGCAGATTTTCTTAAAGTACAATGACCAAAATTCAATCCAAACCTCCAAGTACTATTTGGATTATTCTATTTGTCCAGGATACTATGTATGCATGTTCTTGTGGCCCACCTTGGCCCATTTAGGTTCGAATCTGGACTTTGAACTGTGTTAGAATCAGTCTTCAAATTAAATGTTATATCTGTAAAATGAGAAATGGTGGCAGTAGGTGAAATAAGGCATGTGAAAGGCCTAAAGCCATATGTATCTCAAAGTGAGCTTAATACAGAGGTTCTGGGTTCTCGTTTTTAAAAAAAATTCTCACTGAGGATATATTTAGTGATTTTAGAGAGGGGAGAGGAGAGAAAAAACACATTGATGTGAGAGAAACACATGTATCAGTTGCCTCCCGTATGCAACCCGACCAGGGATACAACCCACAACATTTCAGTGTACCCAATGATGTTCCAACTAACTGAGCCACCCAGCAAGGGCTAGATTCTCATTTAAACCAAATTTTAAACATTTTTATTAATATTTGCAAGTCAATAATGTAATACCTCACATAAACAAAAGGAAAGCCAAAAATCACTTGATCATGTCAGTAGATGCAGAAAAAGTACTTGATAAGGTACAGCACCCATTCATGATAAAAACACTCAGCAAAGTGGGAATAGAGGGAGGATTCCTCAACATAATGAAAGCCATATTTGAGAGACATACAGCCAATATCATACTCAATGAGCAAAAACTAAAAACTTTCCCACTAAGATCAGGAACAAGACAAGGATGTCCACTTTCACCACTCCTGTTCAACATAGTATTGGAAGTCCTAGCCACAGCAATCAGACAACAAAAAGAAATAAAAGGCATCAAAATTGGAAAAGAGGAAGCAAAAACTGTTATTATTTGCAGATGACATGCTCGTATACATAGAAAATCCTATACACTCCACCAAAAACTATTCAACCTAATAAATGAATCTGGCAAACTAGCAGGATACAGAGTCAATATTCAGAAATCGAAGGCATTTTTGTACATCAACAACAAAATATCAAAAACACA